GAATTTCTAGCAATTGTTAATCATTTCTATTAGCTTGAATTAGTGATGCTTTACTGGGCTTAAAATGTATTGAGGACAGAAAGAACAATCACGGATAAAAAGATAATACTTATAGTCATATGACATAGGAGATTGACCACTGGCAAAGTAATACCCTCCCAGTGGGACTGAATTAATAGGAAGTCAGTACTAAAGGGGAACTTAAGAAAGCAGGGAACATATATTTTTATCCAATGAGATGGCTGAGTAAACCTCACATACTTCACCTTCATCCTTGACCCAAATCCCCAACCCTGATTCCCCACCCAAAAAAAAGACCAAAAAACCCAACCACTGAGGTTGCATTTTGGATTTTCAATCACATCTTTAAGAAAGTTTTTTGAAGTAAAAAATAGCTGTTATATTCTGATAGCATACAGCACATCCACTGTGTCTAAGTATTCTAGTCTCACTTCCCACACAAAAACAGACTACATAATTTCTTTCAACCCAATCTTTAGATGGAGGAAGTAGAATGTAAAGGGAAAAGAAAGAGTGAATACAATGTTATGGCAAAGAACTTGCTAAAAACTAAGAAGGCAGCTTAGTTGTCATGGATTTTTACTTCAGAACATCTGGAATAAACACTCCTTGGTGATAGTTTGTTACAAATATATTATGCACGCAGTCTTCTCTATTCAACAGCAGGACGAGGGATGGCATAACTCGAAGCGGACGGCACTGTGGCTGAGGAAGCAATGCATGATGAAGAGTTTTTCTAAAAACTGGTGCATATGTTACATGCTGTAAAATTTGTGGGTAAAGTTGTCGATGGAGACACCATTGTGGCTTACTAGCACATTCTTCATTCCCATTTCTCACGGTCTGCTGGGGAATAGTGGGAAGAGACTCTTAAACGTTTCTGACGGTGGAAGTGTTATGCAATAGGATCAGCAGCAACCTCTGCGATGGACAACACCAGTATCCAAAATAAACTTCCTTCTGATTTCCTCAAAAGTTAGAGGACCTGAGTGAACTATGGATAGTTTGTTTGGCAAGTTGTAAGTGGATATAAAAAAGAACTTTCAGAACATACGGAATAGGAAAATGGAGTCTGCAAAGAGACCTGCAGCAACTCAAAAACTATTCTGCGTCTAAGTCCCAAACTTAATTCTTGAATATGCTTGAGAACGAGTGAAATGAATAAGCAACAAGGAAAGCACTGGCTGGAAGCAAGGAATTGGATAGGTAATTCTCCATACATTTCACTTTTTACTAATAAAATGCCACTTCCTAAGCAACTGATGCTACCACTTCTCCATACTCCATTTCTATGATCTGTGATTCTGCTACTGTGAGCGCTCCCTCAGCAGATCGAGGGCAGCCCTCCTGTGTCTCAGTGGTCTTCAACAATTGCTATGGCTGAAAAACTTGTCAACTTATAGTTAGTTTGGTGGTGAGCCTCTCTAAATTTAATAGGTTTGGTCCTCAGAAAACAGATGTACCCTACATAATTTAACTGGTAATCAAAGCCTTTCCAGTCTGGTAGAACTTGTGGAAACGTGTACTTGACTGGCAGCCTGAAAGAAGCTGGGCTACCTCCATAGTAGGACCATATCTAAATACATGCTGGTTAATCTGATTTGATTACTTTTGGGGAAAATCATGCCATGCCATAAGATAAAAATAAATTCTTCTCACTGCACATGCATGTCGGAGAAAGTGGCTAGTTATAAACAGCATATTATTTACGGCTCCACTGAAACGGCAGCTCTAGATTCTAAAGGAGATTTGATTTATCCTTTGGTGATCCCAAGAAACTGATGGCCGAACATAAGCCATGAATTGTTTAATATGTCTAGTGTCTATATTCCACAAACAAGCTTTGGATCACTTAATACAAACTGAAAATCAGTATCTGTCCCATAATGATGGCCCAAAATACAAGATAGTATGTCTTTTGAAACTTGCAATGACAGTCAGACTTAAAACAACAACACCACACACAACCACCTTCAAACTTGTAACTAATGGTGAATAACCCTATTCACTAATTCTCACTATGACTTTTTTAGTATCGTAGGTATAGAGGATAATCAGATGGTTTCTCATTGGTGTTCAGCCACATTTCACTGCATGCAATCAACAATAATATTATTTCACTTACCATACTCCACCTATCTCAGTCACCTATTTTCAGTTGGACTGAAAGTAACCTTAAATTAAGGTTGTTATTCTGAAAGCAAAAATGATTTCTGAGAAGCCAAAATAAACCATCACAAAACCCATGCACTCTATTCTACAGCAGAGACACTCAAGGCCCTCATTTACAGCAGTTTCACTCAATATATAATTCCAACAAGCTTGGTTTTCTGACGTTCCAAAAAACAGCAATTATCATGATAATGCATCAGGGGAAGAATATGCTCTGAAACTAAGGTCAAGGGCAGAATGCAAATCCCTCATCTCAAAGCAGTCAATCATTGTTTCCTTACCTCTCAAAAATGTCCCTGCTTAGTTCAGACAACTGAAATTTGCTCAGATGGCAAAAGACTAAAACGCAATGTTTTAAATTTATGATGTGTAGGGCTATTTAATGGATGTGGGTATCTTTAGCTTTTCAAAGAGAAAGACACAGAATTAGAGTGTGGGAAACCTTGGTTTCTCCTAACAGTATGAAAATATGAAGTAAAATAAAAACATCAGCTTATGTAATAATTTATATTTTTATAGTGATATTATTTTTTTAAATATATATACTGATGAGTTTCATTTGCACAACAGTCCTGTGACACAGGCCAAGTGGAGATGATTTCTCTTCATTTTACAGATAGTAACCTGTCCAGAGGCATATACAGATGGGGGAAATAGGACAAGAACAAGGCCTACCCAGTACAAGGCTTTTTCTGTCCTTTATCCTCACCCTGGCTGCTTTGGCTTGAAGAAACTGAACTTCACATATTTTTCCAGTGTCACCAGTGAAAACCTTTTCTCTAAGTAAACCCCACTGGCCTAACAAAGGTGAGGCACAACACTGCTGTAGGACAGCGGTCACAATCTGTCACTCTAATGCAGAGGGTACTGAAAAGAGAAAATGAGGGCTCTAGATAGAAACAAGCCACATCTTAGACCTTCTTTTAGAATCAGAAAAAAAGAGAAATCAAGCTAGCCTTGTGTTTAGGTAGGGCTATTCCTAAACCATTCTAGCTAGATGAGTATCCCAGATAAACATAATCTGAATCTCCAGTCATCAGCATTTACTGATCCTCTCTATCATTAAGTCCATTTTTCTATTTACTCAAAATCCCACATGCTTTTGGATCAAACCTACTTTTTTCTGGCGTTAGTAAAGATACAGAATATACTCAGTGCCTTGTAAACACTCCTCATCTATCTGAGGAAGACTAAATTATTATTCAGTTTATCTTCAGTGCTGTCTTCTAAAGGACCCTTCAAATCACCCCTTAACTTCTTGCCAAATTTTCTAAGGCTCTCAAGTCATATCACAGCCTACTAGCATCGTACACAGTTGTCTAGGAGTGGCCAGAATTAAAACTGGAGGCCATTTACATGCTGAGCTTTTATTTCTTCAAAAGAGTGCTGGTTTTAAGGCTCCTTATGTCCACGAGAAAAGGTTTTTAAGGAAATGTGGACAGCTGCAAATATATCCACATTGCTTTTCTTGGAGACCTGACAAATTTGACGCTAGACCATACTTGTCAAACACTACCTGTGCCTTTAAAGAAACCGGTTTGCCCCCAAAGCTTCCACTGCCAATGAGATCATCATCAAGCTCCCAAGCGCTACCAAAAGAACACACCTAGACCTCATTCAAGTTCAAACCACCTCTGACGATGTGAATGAAAGAAGAATCTTACTTCCATTCATGAAAGTACCCTGGGACAGTCATGGCAGAAGCTGGTGGGAAGGAGGTGAGGAAATTTATTCGAATAAGTCTTGTGGGTGAAAAAGTATATCTGAGTCCTGACAGGATAGGGCATTTCAGTGCTATGAGTCTAAGAAATGGGCAAAGCTGCAGTGAAGGTTTTGAAGTATAAAATCTAAAAGGAACATCACAAAACTGGTTTTACACAACTGACACACAGGGTAGTGGACACTTGATGTAGTTTCCAAAGTGACTAAACAAGCTGCCCTGGGCTTCTGACATTTAAACGATGATGCCGTGAACTAAAACTTATACAGAGAAGGATGATTGTAAAATATGTTGGAAATAACAAAATGTCACCTGAGGGGGCAAGGCACAATACTGATGACAACACGTGTCAAATTCTATTCAAAAAATGATTCCTAAGTTGCTGTTATGCAGTTAAATGTAATTATCCAGCATTGTGATTGAAGGGTAGAATAACCTAGAATAAAACCCAGTTAATTGCTATTTACAGATTACTATGCACATTTGGACCATAAATCTTTTAGAGATTAAAAATATTTGTTAGAAAATTGTATGAATCAGTCCTATTAGCTGTGTCAGAAACTCTTTTGATTAAGCCATATAGGCAACTAGGCTAGAATTTGTTTGCCTATAGCTCATTCCATCGATTATACACATTCCATGTATCAAAGTACACACTTACACTATCATTTGGAAATTATGGCCAACAAAGGGGATTATTTCATTGAAAAATATCTACTAACCCCCAAACTGTATGCAATTTAGATTAATTTCCTTAACAGCTTAATAAGCAAACACAAGCTGAATCAGGAGGAACCTCTTTCTCTCCAGGCTTATAAATAAAAGGCTTCTTTCAAAGAAAGTCTCATTTCTAAGTTATCTCTTAAGTCCCCAGGGGCTTTCTGCTTACCAGACTTTAAGGAACTTTGAGCTGCCCCTAATCTAGAGCCAAAACAAAACCCTCTGGGGACAAGGTAAGACATATCATACCAAAACTGTAAAAGCACATCCCACATGGATCTGCCACATCTGACTGAGCACTGCCTCCTGAGGCCTTGTCCAAGATGGGCAGGGAAGACTACCATGCAAAGGGCTGGGCATCGCTTACCTTTTGATGACTCGTGACCTCTTCTCTGCTTCTTCCCAGCTCCTCAGCAAGTTTGAGATTCTCCTCCTGCAATGCCGAAAGCTGTTGGGACTTCCAAGCTGCTGCCTGCTTCAAGGCTTCTCTGCAAGGACAGGGAGTGCAGGGTTACCATAGAAACAAGACAGGCAAGAAAAATGGTGGGAGAGAAGCAGCTTCCCAGCCTGAGGCAGAAAAAGATTTTTCTCTGGGTCACGTGCCTAATGGGAATTTATAACTAGAAAGCACCTATCACTCCAAGCAGAATAGACTAGAGGGCTTTAATCTGGCAAAGAACAGATGTCACCTCTAAGGCCATCACCCTTTGGCCTGCTAAGTGCTCACCACTCCTACTCAGCTCCCACACTACATTCATACACTAGTTAACACCAGGGGAGAATAGGAGAATGATCATCAGAGTCTACTGCTGTAGGAATAGGCTTGTTATTTAAATGCATGAATACATTTCACATCCACAGAGTAGTTTGTCATTTCTTGGGCACTTGCAAGACTGCCCAGCTTTGTAACCTGTTTCTCCTGGCAAGAAGAAAAAATCTAATGGTCCCATTCATTCGCTAGTATCTGATGAAGTTCAGGGATGACGTGTATTGGAATATATTTTTAGGACAACCAGAGGCAAAATGCCCTAGGGAGAGCAGTTTTCTAATTACATAAGGCACTTTTTTCTCCCCTCAAATGAGAATGATACCCTTTCCAAGCACTGATTTTTGATTAAAAGCAGCAAATAAAAATGAATATACCACATGGAACACGTGCAACCAACATATAGAAGGATCTATTACATTCAATGCAAAAATCAATTATTTTAGTTATTAGCTAAGGTACAGTTTCACCAGTACGTCTGCCAATACAATCACTGAAATTAATTTAATACTGCAGAAGGTTTCACTGTAGCTATGAGTTGGAGGTAAACATATGCTTGTTAATTTCCATTGTGAGTTATGATACATGGATGAATCCTGAATCTTGGTATAAATTCATCTGATGATCAACATGTCTATTTTTAACTTCAGTTGTCTATAGGTGGCCAGAGTTGATACTCTGATTTCTCTTACTCTCTGACTTTCAATCACAGATTTGGCACTCATATTAGGGTAACCTCACAAAGGTTTAAGGAAACAGAAAGTAACATGGTTTAGTGGGAAAAACAAGAGAACTGTAGGCATATCCTAGACCTGGGTACAAATCCCAACTCTGTATGCCAGATATCACTGTCCCTCTCTGAGCTTCAGTGCGGTTATCTTTCAATCAGAGGGGAGAGGGGCAGAGGGAAGTAGTATCCACTTATCCTGGGAGGGGTATCTTGTTCAGTGAAGTTGAAATCAGGCACAGCTAGGACTTGAAGGCATCTAGGAGGGCATTCCAGGTGTGAGGAACAGCAAAAGAACATGCCCACAGCTGAAAGATCGAGTGTTGTGTGTAAGGACCCAAAAGGAAGCCAATGTCACTGGACGGAAGAGTGCCTGGGGAGGGATAAGAAGATTGAAAGGGGGGTGGAGCAGGCTAGGTTATGAAGCGCTTCGAACACCAATGATGATTTATATTTGATCCTGGAGGTGACAGGCAGCCACTAGAGGTTATTGAGTTGGGCTGTGATGTGGTCAGACTCCCCAGCAGCCACTGCAATAGTCCAGGTGTGGGGAAATAAGGGCCTGCACCAGGTTAGGAGCAGTGTCAGAGGAGGGAAGCGGGTGTTTTGGAAAGTCGTTGTAGACATGGAATTGACAGGTCTTGGCAACAGCTTGGATATGGGGGGAGGGGTCTGTGTGAAAGGCAGCCTCACATTAGTAGCCCAAGGTGACACCTAGATTGTGAGCCTAAGGGAGTGGGAGGATGATGGCATCCTCAACAGTAATAGGGCAGTCTGGAAGGTGGGGAGAATCTGGGAATAAAGATGAGCTCAGTCTTACACATGCTGAGTTTACGATGTGTCTACAGGACATCCATTTCAAGGTATCTACTAGGCAGCTGGAGATCCAAGACTGCATTACAGGTTGACAGAGGGGCCAGAGCTGGATGAGAAGATCTGAGAATTATCTGCATGGAGACGATAACTGAATCCATGGCAGCTGATGAGATCACCAGTGAAACAGCACAGAGGGAGAAGAGAAGAGGGCCCAGGACAGTCCTGTGAGGAACCTACATTTAGTGGGCATGACCTGGATGGAGAACCAGTAAAGGGACTTGAGTAGGATGTCAGAAAGGTTAACAATGAGGGGAGAGTTGTGTCCTGAAAACCTAGAGAGAAGAGAGTATTAAAGAAAGTAGAGTGATCAACTGTGTCAGAGGGTGCAAAGAGGTTAAGAAGGATCAGGAGTGAAAGAAAGCCACTGAGGTGGTTGCAGCCACTCCAGCACTAGGACCACCTCTTACTCTGAACACAAGCCAAAAGAGAAGGGAGGGTATACAAGATGTTTTCAGGAACATGGCTTATACCAAGCAAACTTCCCATAAATCTACCAGTAGTAAAGCACCCATGGAGTAACTTGATAAAAAGCTGCTCCCAAGAGTGCAGCCTCTCCCAGAGGGGTCAAAAAACCTCCTTACTACAGGCCAGGTACGGAGGCTTTCTGTGAAATCTGATGTTATCAGAAGTCCCCTGAATTTCTGATTTATAAATTTCTCTTCCAGCATCAGGTGTGTGAAATTGTTCAGGGTTTCAGAACAAATCTGAGCTTCTGGAGAGCAACAATTGCTTCTTTGTAGGAGGCAAGTGAAGCCCACCTAGTTGTCCTGTTTGAGGGCACAGCCTTTGTGCTAACCATGCCAAACATGTCACAGTCATGCCAAAAGATATCCAGCTAACACACTGCACATGTGGACAACACCCTTAAACTCCACTACGAAGGGAAACATTCTTCATTCTCAAAGCAGAAAAACAAAATCTCTTCTTCCTGTTATTGGTAGTTCTGAATATTAGATTTTCCCCCCATAAGGCCAAAAGGTATATGATTATATATGGAAAAATAGGAGACAGAATTAGGTATTGGCAAGTTTTTTCCAATTTCATTTGTGTGTGAATTTTTACTATAAATGCAAGGATATAAACCATTAATGCACTCCAAAAGTGTTTCCATGAATAATTTTCAACAATTCAACTTTTATAACAATTAAAAATAAACCTGTTAATTTTTTTTTCAGGACAATGACAGCATTTGGGTTTGTTTGTTTGTTTGTTTTAACAAAGTAAATTTCTTATCGATGGCAACAAAATGGTATTTGTAGTATTTTTACCATACAGTAGATCCTATCCATTCACTATACTTTTCTGAGTGTCCTACATGCAAGTACATGATTTTAATGTAACCCATTTTTTGTGCTGTTCCTCTAAGTTTGCTATTACAATATATGAGAGAGAGAGAGAGAGAGAGAGAGAGAGAGAGAGAGAGAGAGAGAGAGAAGGACTGAGTTGGCAATTAAGAGATTATTCTTAACTTTGAAAAGAATAATTTCAATTGAATGATGAGGTCAAAACCAAACCAGAAGTTTGGAAGCCAAACCAGAGTTAAGAAGAGAATGAGAGGAAAGAAAGAAGAATCCATTATAAATGGCCTTCTCAAGGAAGTCAGGCACAAAAGGCTAGACAGACATGGCATAATAGTTAGCAGGGGTGGATATAATAAGTGAGGAAAAGAGGAGAGACATAGACATTTTTGTAGGCAGTAGGAAAGCAGCCAAGCAGATGGGGAGAGATTGAAAATAAGTGAGAAGAGTAGGGATGATGGGAGGGACAATCTGCCAGAGCACTCAGGATGGAATGGGATTACTATTGCATATAAAGGAGTTTACCATTGAGTAGTCATGTGAGACAATGATGGAAGAAAAGATAGTGACAGAACATATCTGAGTGATGATATGAAGGGGAAGAGACAAGAGATAGCTCTTGGCGAATGGCCTAAATTTTTTCAGTAAAATATGAAAAGTTCTCAGCTGAGAGCCATGGGAGGTTGGAGGAAAGACGGAAAGGTTTGGCAGAGTCACTCACAACTGTATATTGTGAATATTTTCTTCAAGAAGCAAGGCAACCTTACAACCTAACAACAATCACCCAAAAAATGAAACTGACTTTATCTCAACAGACAGGAAGTCACTAGTTATTGATGTGGGAGTCAATTCTGAGTCAGCTGTCTGTGTGGTTAAAATCACACCGAATTAGAAAATAAAGACAATACTACATGCAATTACAACTGCTCCAATCCAATTCACTTAAGCTATATACTCTTGTCTAGTTCCCATTTTTTTTTTCCAGAGTCAAGACTACAGCTTTAATTAACACCACTTTTTAGAGAAACTGCCTCTTCAACACCTTGAACTGGATTTCTTATAAACATCTGAAACTCAAGTCCAAACTGAACTTATTCTCTCTCTTAGGCAGCTCCCTATTTAGGTAGTGCAGTGATGGACCTAGAGTCAGGAAGACCTGAGTTCAAATCCAGCCTCAGACATTTATTAACTGTGTCACCCTCATTTAACCTGTCTGCCAGTTTCCTCATCAGTAAAATGAAGGTAATAATGCCAACCACATCCCAGGATTGTTGTGAGGATAAAATGAGATATTTTTAAAGCATCTTGTAAAGTTTAAAGTCATACATAAATGCTAACTATTTATATTTTCCACAAGCCTTCCCTTCTTCTTAACTTTTATATTACACTCAAAGATACTTATCATCATCCCCCTCAGGGTTGCAACCCACTGTCATCCTCAACTCCTCACTCTCTCACCCTTCGTATCCAATCTGTTGCCAGGCCTTGCTAATTCTACCTTCAGAATGTGTCTTATATATGTCCCTTTCTATCCTCTGACATCACCACCATCCTTGTACAGGCCCTTATTACCTCATGCCTAGATTACCGCCACAGCTTGCTGGCAGGTGTCCGGGCTTCAGGTCTTTTCCCATCCTTGTCCACGCCCACTCAGCTGCCAATCTGACCTTCCTAAAGAGCAGTGACCATATCACATCCCTCTATTCAATAATCTCCAGGTGTTCCCTATAGCTTCCAGGGTTAAATATAAAATCCACTGTTTGACTTTTTCAGGCCCTTCACAACCTAGACCCCTTCCCATCTTTGTAGGCTTCTTGTACTTCACTACCCTCCATGTACTGTACTGTGTGACAGTTCAATGACCCTGGCCTCCTTCCCATCCTTTGCACCAAAGAGTCTGTCTCCCACCTCTGGGCATTTTCACTGGCTGCTGCCCCCCATGAATGGCATTCTCTCTCTCTCCTAACTTCTACCTCCCAGGCTCCTTAGATTTCTTCAAATTTCAACTCAAGCCCCACCTTCTGTAAGAAATTTTTCCCAATCTCACTTACTGCTAGTGCTTTCTGTTGGATTACCTCCAATTTATTCTGTCTATGCCTTCTTTCATAGTTGTTTGCCTGCTGATTCATTAGACTGAGAGCTCCTTGAAAGCAGAATCTGTCTTTTGCCTTTCCTCGTATCCCTAGATTTAGGTCTTTGGACAGCAAATCCAATGTAATTCTGATTATGCCATTTGTGTCTCATACTAAGATACAGCAAAATTTTTTAGATGATCTCTACAATTCCTTCTAGCTTGTCTTGACATTTTATGGTTCTCTGATTTCTGGAGAGAATAGGCTAATACCTTAATAACCCCAGTGACAAAAGAATTTCTTTTGCAAAAGATCTCCAGAAGTTGAAGTCTAAATCATGAAATCTTCTCAAGTCTGATGTTGCCTTGAAGTTACAAAAAGTTTAGAAATGATTAACCTTAACCAAATAATTTATGTGACAGACGGTCCAATTCTTCTTCATCTGAGCTACTGTCCTCTAAAAACGGTCCCCTCAAAAGAGGTAAAGGCACCATTCAGAAGAGTCACTCTCATTAACAAAACTAAGACTGCTAGAATAAAAACACTTATAATCAAATTATTTTTCTTCTAGAAGGGCAAAGTTATCATAGTAACCTATCAAGGTTATTAAAAACAACCTTGTCTATCCCTTATTACCCAACCGATTTAACAGATGTAAAAAATAATATTTTTAATAGAGAAATGAGAAGGTGAAGAGGAATCAGTAAACACTGTTAGGTTTAAAAGTTATTTCATTGAACACTCTCGACAACCTCTATCAACTTTTGAGTAGAAGAGTCAGCGCCTCTAAATTTGTGATTGGATGACACCCCTTTGACTCCATTCGCTTACAGTGGCACAGACAGCTAAATGGTGTGGCTCAGACAGTGGGAGGGAGGCTGGGTGATCCTGTCTTACTGCACAATCGCTCCCTTTCCAAATTCCTAAGCTAACATGTCAACTTGGCATTTCAACAGAACAAAAAGGCTAAAATGCCCCATGTCACTACACAAATTATTTGTGTTGCTAAAAAAAAAAACGGAATTATTTAGTTTTCTGTAAAACCAGTGGAACCCACCCCTCTACAAACGCAACTGAGCTGGTACAGCATTTTCCCATGCAAGTGTTTCTAAAACTATCACCTATTTTTAAAATCCAACTGCAGCAAGCATTAGGATTGCTTGATTTTGCTCTAAATGAGTCTCAGTCATTTATGGCAGAAGTACCAATGAATTAAACAGGCTTTTAGTCCCTCCCTTGTCTTTTGAAGACAATGTAAATAGAACAGTAAGGAATTTCTCAACTTTGATCTACAGATATAAATACCACAGCTAAAACTCTAGAGCAGGGGTGAGGAACCTGCTGCCTCACCGCAATGGTGAGGCACAAAGGAGGTCACAATGCCCCCTTCTAGGTCCTTGGGTGCAGCCTTTTGACTGAGCCTAAGTTTTACAGAACAAATCCTTTTATTAGGGGGATTTGTTCTGTAAGCTTTGGATTCAGTCAAAGGGCCCCACTAAAGGACCTAAAGGGCCACATGCGGAATTGAGGCCGTAGGTTCTCCACCCCTGCAGAGAGAGAGGGACCCATATACCAATGGCAAAAGTAAATAACCAATTTACAGAGATTCTAAATAGAACCCAGGTACCAGAATGATTCTAGAAACAGCCCAAGAGTCTCACAGTAACTAAACTCATCATTCACAAGAAGGAGAGGCTGCACTCATTTTACCTAGTTTTGAAACAAAGTCAGTAGTGAAGATAGTTCATTTGGAATTGCTGATTTTACCACCTTTTGAGTCTCAGCTTCCAGTTCTATTAGCACATGTTTTAAATTCTTAGTGTCACTAATGTAAATGGAGTCTAACTGAAAAGGATCCTACTTTTTTCAGTCTGACTGGCAGTTAAATTGAAATGTCCAATTATACCATTCCCAGCACTTTGAACTACATGAGACAAGGGGAGCCAGCGGCAATGGAAATGAGAAAAATGTCTCTGTTATGAAATCTGAGTAGCAGAGAAGTCATTTGAAATACTTCTTAGTGTAAATACTTCTCCTGATCCCTCCCATACACCATCTATTCTATTAAAATCTAATCACCGGGGGCAGCTAGGTGGTGCAGTGGATAGAGCACCAGCCCTGAAGTCAGGAGGACCTGAGTTCAAATCCAGCCTCAGACCAAACACTTGAAACTTACTAGCTGTGTAACCCTGGGCAAGTCACTTAACCCCAATTGCCTAAAAAACAAACAAACAAAATCTAATCACCATTAATATCAGCCTAATCAATAGACCAAAAAAATTTTTTTCCACTTCCCTTGGTTTGTTTGTTTTTTAATTCAATTTTTTTTCAATGAGCAAAAATCCACTTCTCCATGCTACCTCTCCTGAACCTACTGAAAAAGAAGGAAAAACAAAATCTCTTGTAATAAATAGGCAACCAAGCAAAATAAAATAAACAAAATTCCCACACTGGTCATATAAAAAAAATATGATTCAATCGGAATTGTGTTATCTACTCTTAGACCATTTAAAATGATGTAAAGAAAACTGTGTTGTATGCTTTTTTTTTTTAAAGTAACACCTCATATGGCATGTTCTACTCTTTAGGATACAAACTCTACTTCATAGTTCCAAAGTGCTTTACTAAGCAGATTTAAAATACAGACTGCACAGCTTAAGTAGCCAGTACAACTGTTCTTCCTTATCTTTTCTATTAGCTGTGAGGCTATTTTTCTAAAACAATAAAAAGTTATCCTTGTTCTACACATAGGCACAAATGTACAGGCTGAAATACCGAAATGAAATTACTTCACAAAATAAAGAATGGCTATATAGCAATTTATACCACAAAAGAGAAGAAACACACACAACACAACACTTACATTTCCTTCCTGAATTCCTCCATTTTTTGGTTCTCTGCTGTGAGACGTTCCTTTGATTTGTTCAATTCTTCAACATTTTTGGAGTTATTTTCTTTAAGTGCATTCAACTTCAAGAGAAAAAAAAAATACAGCTGAAGTCATTCTGTGCTGCAGTGAAATGTTTGGAGCCCTAAAAGCTACTCACTGAATGGGTGGTGAGAGGGTACTGTAAAGTTAACTCTGTGGGAATGGATTAAAAGGCAGTACATGCTATAGTATCAAGATCCCTGAGTTCAGAGTCAGAGGATATGGGTCTCAAACCCTGCTCTGAACTCTGGCTCTCTGGAAAACCATAAGGCAGGCCCTTCTCCTCTCTGGGTCTCACTTTCCACCACTATAAAATGAAAAGGGTGAACTTGATAACCATTAAGATTCCCTCCAAATAGAAATCCTACAATCTACAAAAAGCTAGTGTAAAAACAGAATGCAAATCTCTACATTATTAAACAATATTTAAACAGAACCTAAACTTAAAATCTCCTTTAATCTTCAAGCTTTCTCCAAGGTTCTCAGTAATGCATAGCACTTTCTATGGAAATCTAGACAGAGAAGTCCACTCAAATAATATACAAAGTACCTGCTATGTGGTAAGGCTTAGTGCCGTGGGTGATACGAAGGAGATTAAGAGGTAGTTCTGGGCTATTAAGACAGCCAAGATGTAAGGGTAGAGACAGCAACCTAGCTGAACTCTTCCAACATTCCGTTTAAAATAAAGGTCATATTGAATTATAGAGTGGCAGAGCCAACAAAAGACAAGGCAGCAGGGGTGAGGAACCTGTGGACTCGAGGCCACATGTGGCCCTCTAGGTCCTCAAATGTGGCCCTTTGACTGAATCCAAACTTCACAGAACAAATCCCCTTAATAAAAGGATTTGTTCTGTAAAACTTAAGACTCAGTCGAAAGGCCACACTCAAAGACCTAGAAGGTCACAGGTGGCCTCGAGGCCACAGGTTCCCAACCCCTGGACCAGGAGAAGGCATTTTCCCAGCCCAAGACAATTTAGGAGGTCAGAAGGAGAGGTCTGTGACACTGGGGTGGGCTTGGTCAGAACATTGTGGCAGCAGCAGTGGGCCTTATAGGCAGCTGTAACAGTGGTAGCAGCAGCTTTGAGAGCCCTCAGTTGGACAACTGATCAGAAGGAGACTGCAGGGGAACTCTGGCTGGCATTGGGCACAGGACCCTGTTGCATTGCCCATGTGCAGTTTAGGTTGTAGTTCTAGAGCAGAGAAGAGCACTAGCACTTGCAACTGCATGACAGCAGAGGTGCTTCCCAGGTAAAGACCACTTGGAAATACTGAAAACTTAGAGACACCCAGAACTAGCTCTGAAAACAAAAGAATGAAAAAGCCTGAAAAGCTTGTGATAGCCTCCAACCCACCCCAGGAACAGAGCCCAACTTAAAGTTCAAAAAGCGGGAAAAATGAGCAAACAATAAAAAAAAGAATCTGGCCATAAAAGCTATGATGGTGACGAGAAAGATTAAGACACAAACTTAGAAGCCAACAATGTGAACATAGCCACCAGCACGGCCTCAAAAGGAAGAAAAATTCAGAAAAGAAATGAGAGTAATGGAAGAAAATTAACAAAAATAAAATTAAAGAAAGAAAGAAAAAAAGAAAAGAGAATTAACAACTTGGTAAAAGAGGCACACATACACACACACACACACAAACACTAAAGAAAACAGCACCTTAAAAAACAGAATTGGCCAGATGGTAAAAGAGACACACAATTATAAAGGAAAACTGCTCCACTATCTTAGGACCAGAGGGTAAAAGAGAAATTGAAAAAGTCTGCCAATCACTTTGTAAGCGACTACAAAATGAAAACTTCCAGGAACATTATAGCCACATTCCAGGACTCCCAGGTCAAGGAGAAAATGTTGTAAGCAGTCAAAAAGATACTGTGGAGCCAAAATTAGGATCACACAAGATTTAGCAGCTCCCATATTAAAAGAACAGAGGGCTTAGAATATGATATTCCAGAAGGCAAAGGAGCTGGGACTACAAGAACACCTATCCAGCAAAAATGAGTATAATCCTTCAAAGGAAAAAATGACGTTCGACGAAAGACAGTATTTTTGAAGCATTCCTGATGAAAAGAGCTGAACAGAAAATCTGACATTCAAATATAAGACTCAAAAGAAGCATTAAAAAAAGTACATATGAAAGAGAAATCATAAGGGATTCAGTAAGGTTAAAATGTTTCTATTTCTATATGGGAAGATGATACATGTGATTTCTATGAACTTTATTACTGTTATTATGGCAATTAGAGTTTACGACACAGGGCACTGGTGAGTGGATTATGTTGGGATGATCTCAAAAAAATAAAGCCTTGAGAAAGAAGAATGCACTGGGAGGAAGGTAAAAGGAAAAGAAGAATGGAGAAATCTATCTTATGTAAAAAAGGCACACAAGGAAGATCTTTTAGAGTGGAAGGGAAGATGGGGCAGGGAGGTAACAGGTAACACTTCACTCTTATCAGAGTCAGGTACAGAAATTTGTCTTACCCAACAAGGAAGCAGGGTTAGAGGGGTAGCGGAGGACACATTAAGGAAGGCAGTGATCAGAAACAAAACAGACTTTTGAGGAGGGACAGGGTAAAAAGACAGAGAGAAGGATAAACAGAAAAAAACAGGACAGAGGGAACTACACAGTTAGTAATCATGTAACTGTAAATGGGATGAACTCGCCAACAAAATGGAGGCAGAAAGCAGGATGGATTAGAAAACAGAATCCAACAATAAGTTACTTACAAAAAATACACTTGAAACACAGATGCTTTTGATCAGGAAGGCTTGAAAGTACTCTATTTCATTAAATATTCATTTTTTCCCTTGACGTTTTATACTCAGTTTTGCTGGGTAGCTTGTTCTCGATTGTAATCTCAGATCTTTGCCTTCCAGAACATAATATTCCAAGTCCTCTGCTTCTTTAACATAGCAGCTACTAAATCTTATATGATCCTGACTGTGGCTCCATGATATTTCAATTTTTTTTTTCTAGCTGCTTGAAGTATTTTTTCTTTGACCTGGGAGCTATGGAATTAGGCTATTAATATTTCTGGGAGTTTTCATTTTGTGATCTCTTTTAGGAGAGTGAGTCAGTAGATTCTTACAATTTCTATTTTACTCTCTGGTTCTAAGATATCAGGGCAGCTGAGGTATGTAAAAAAGGAATGGGAAGCAATCAAGATCTCAGACAAGGCAAAAGCAATAATAAACTAATTAAAAGAAATAATCTTGGGGAAGCTAGGTGGCACAGTGGATAAATCAAGCACCAGCTCTGAAGTCAGAAGGACCTGAGTTCAAATCCGGCCTCAGACCAAAAACTTGACACTTAGTAGTTGTGTGACCCTGGGCAAGTCACTTAACCCCAACTGCCAAAAAAATTTAAAAAAAACCAAAAAACAAAAGAAATAATCTTGCTGAAAGGTACCACTGACAATGAAGTAATATCAAGACTAAATAAACATGCACCAAAGGGCAGAACATCCAAATGCTTAAAGGAAAAGTTAAATGAATTACAGAAAAAATAGTAAAATTATACTAGTGGAGGACCTCAGCTTTCCCCTCTCAGAATTAGATAAATGTAACCTTAAAATAAATAAGTTAAGGATATGAATGAAATTTTTAAAAAGAATAAATTTAAAATCCCTAACTGAACACCAAAATAGAAATTCTGAAAAATCAAAGGAGAGATTGATAAAAACTGAAAGATAAAAAAATGAGTAAATAAAACTAGGAGCTGGTTTTATGAAAAAATAAAAATAATAAAATTAATAAACTACTGGTTAGTTTGATTTAAAAAAAAAGAAAATAAAATTGACAGTATCAAAATTGAAAAGAGTAAATGCATGACTAATGAAGCTGAAATTAAAGCAATTATTTAGCAGTTATTTTGCCCAATTACGTGCCAAGATATCTGACAAATTAACTGAATGGGTTAACATATCAAAAAAATGTAAATTGCCAGATTAAGAGAAAAAGCAGAATACTTAAATAATTCTATCTTAGGAAAAGAAATTTAAAAAGTGATCAATGAACTTCCTCAGAAAAAATCCCAAGGACCAGACAGATTCATAAGTGAATTCCACCAAAAATCTATAGAATATTTAATTCTAGTTAATAAGCTATTTGGAAAAATAAAGAAAGAGCCCTACCAAATTCCTTCTATAAAGCAAATATGGTGCTTCTACCCAAACCAGGAAGAATAAAAAACAAAGAAAAGAAAGCTGTAGACCAAATTTCCTTAATGAATATTGATGCAAAAATTTTAAATAAAATACTGGCAAAGAGATAATAGGAATATATCACCAAGAACATACACTATGATCAGGTGGGATTTATACTAGGAATGCAAGATTAGATCAATATTAGGAAAACCATAACCACATCAACCAAAACTATGACCATATTAATAACAAAAATGATCAGTTCAATAGATACAGAAAAAGGTCTTGACAAAACACAACATTCATTCTTATTAATAATATTAGAAAGCAAAGGAATCAAAAGAGCTTTCTTTAAAATTGTAAGTAGTATCTATCTAAAATCAAGAGCATTATCTGTAATGAAGTTAAACTAGAAATCATCCCCATAAGATCAGGGATGAAGCAAAGATGTCCATTATTTCTACTATTATCCAATGTTGTACTAAAAATGCTACCTATGACAATAAGACAAAAAAAAAAGAAATTTGAAGGAATTAGAATAGACAATGAGGAAACAAAACTATCATTCTTTGTAGATGATGTGATGGTATACTTAGAAAATCCTAAGGAATCAATTAAAAAAGTAGCTGAAACAATGAACAACTTTAGCAAAGTTGCAGAATATAAAATAAACCCACATAAATTATCAGCATGTCTATATATTGCCAAAAAAACCCAGCAGGAAAAGATATGAAGAGCAATTCCAATTTAAAATAACTAAAGACAACATAAAATACTTGGGAGTCTACCTGCCAAGACAAACCCAGGAACTCTATGAACACAATTACAAAACACTTCTCACACAAATAAAGACAGATCTAAACAACTGGAGAAATATCAATTTCTCATGGGTAGACTGAGCCAATATAAAAGCAATTCTACCTAAACTGATTTACCTACTCAGTGCCACACCAATGAAATGACCAAAGAATTGGCTTATAGAACTAGAAAAAGCAAGAAAACTCATTTGGAAGAACAAGAAGTCAGAATACTAACAGAATTAATGGGAAAAATTGTGAAGGAAGGCAGCCTAGCAGTACCAGATTTCAAACTATGTTAAAAGGGGTAATCATCAAAATAATCTGGTAATAAATAAGAAATAAAGTGATGGATAGGTGAACTAGATTAGGTACACAATAAACAAAAGTAAATGACCATAGTAATGTAGCATTTGATAAACCTGAAGATCCAAGCTTTTGGGGGTAAGAACTTACTGTCTGACAAAAATTGGCAGGAAAACTGGAAAGCAATTTTGCAGAAAATGGGTATAGAACAACATTTCACACCATACAGCAAGGTATGGTCAAAATGGGCATATGATTCACACATAAAGGGTGATATCATAAGCAAAATAACGGAGTACAGAAATTTTTACCTGTCAAATCTATGGATAAGGGAAGACTTCATGATCAAACAAGAGGTAGTAAGGATAATGAGAAGTAAAATGGATAATTTTGATTACATTAAAAAGATTTTACACAAACAAAATCGATGCAGTCAAGATTAGAAGTAAAGCAAGAACTGGGGGGGGATGATAAGCAAGTTTCTCTGATAAATGACCCATTTCTCAGATATATAAGGAACTGAATCAAAATTTTTTTTTGAGTGATCTTAGTTTTTTTTAAATTTAATTTATTTTTTTAATTTTTTTTTCCACGTGCTTTTGAGTTGAAAATTTTTTTCTCCCTTTTTCTCCCCCCCCCCCCCCGACGGCGCACAATCTGACATGGGCTTTACATTTACATAGCCATAAAACATATTTTCACGTTAGTGAAGTTGTAAGTAAAAATTAAAACCAATAGGAGGAACCATCAGAAAGATGAAACAAAATTCAACTTAAGGTAAAAATAAGTGAGAGCGATTCGACTTCCATAGTTCTTTCTTTGGATGTGGAACTGAATCAAATTTATAAAAGAGCAAGAGCAAGCATTATCTGTAATGAAGTTAAACTAGAAACCTTCCCCATAAGATCAGGGATGAAGCAAAGATGTCCATTATTTCCATTTAATTTCCAACTGATAAATGGTCAAAGGATATAACAGGCAGTTTTCAGAAAAAGAAAAAGATATATAGTCATATACAGTCATATGAAAATGTTCCAAATCACTACTGATTAGATAAATACAAATTAAAACAATTCTGAGGTATCACCTTACATCTTAGACTGGCTAACATGATAGAAAAGGAAAATGACAAATGCTAGACGGGATGTAGAAAAACTGGGACACCAGTGCATTGCTGGTGAAGTTGTGAACTTATCCAACCATTCTGGAAAGCAATTTGGAACTACACTCAAAGGGCTATAAAACTGTGCATTACACCCCTTGACTCAGCAATATCACTACTAGGTCTATATTCCAAAGAGATCAAAGAAAAAGAAAAAGGACCTCTATCTACAAAAATATGTACAGCAATTTTTTTTGGGGGGGAGTAGCAAAAACTGGAATTTTGAGGAAAACACGCTATTCATCAGTTCGGTGATGGTTGTACAAGTTATGGTATATGATTGTGATGGAACACTATCGTGCTATAAGAAATGATGATCAGGATGGCTTCAGAGAAACTAAGCAAGACTTTTATCAACTGATGCAAAGTGAAATGAGAACCAGGAGATCATTGTACATAGTAATAGCAACATTGTAACAATGATCAATTGTGAAAGACTTATTTATTCTGATCAATATAATCATCCAAGATAATTCTGAAGGAATCATAATGATATCCATCTCCAAAGAGAAGTGAATTCTGAGTGCAGAGTGAAGTATTTTTTCACTTTATTTATCTTGTTTTATTCTGCAATATGGCTAATATGAAAATGTTTTGCATGATTTCATATGTATAACTGACATATTGCTTGCCTTTTCAATGCGTGGGGAAGGGGAAAAGGAGAGAATTTAGAACTTAAAATTAAAACAAAATGCTAAAAATAAATAAATAATTAGTGTAAAACAAAGGAAAGAAATCAATGAAATGTTTTTTTTAAAAAATACACAGAAGACAGTAGGAGGAAGTTTAAAATGGAACATGGACAAGCAGGGAAGTGTTGAAACTAGCATGTTTAATTTAACATGTACTTTCATTAAAGACTGATGGTTTCATATATAATCTTTTTCTGTTCTTTGTTTATAGAAATGTTTCACAGTTTTTGATGTTTGTCAAGTTCATGAAAATAAAAATAAAAATAAAAAAAAAGCCATCCTTGTACTAATGGATCTAATAGTTCTGGAAGCTACAGATATATAATAGAAGATACAAGGTGAAAGTGTAGTAAGAGAGGTACAAAGTGACAGGGGAGTTCAGAAAAGTGGTAGTTGACTGCAAGAGAGGGAGGAGGAGGAAACTGGGGAGGATCTGAATCTGGCCTAGAAAACAGGTCAATAAGTATTTATTAAATGTCTACTATGTTCTAAGCACCATGCTAAATTCTGAGGATACAAAGGCAAAAACAGTCCCTGCACAACAACTGTGTTCAAACAAGATAAGTACAAGGTAAGTTGGAAATAATTTCAAACAGGAGGCACTAACATTAAGGAGGACAATAAAAAGGCTTCTGCAGAAGGTGGGATTTTAAAGGAAGCCTGGAAGTAGAGATGAGGAGGGGAGAGCATTCCAGGCATGGAGCCAGTGAAAATGAATCTATTTAGAAGCATTCAATCAGTTATCAAATATTACTGGTTCTACTTCCACAACATAATTTGTTCATCTATCTCCTCTTCAACCACACAGTTACTAACCTCAATCAGGTCCTCATCACCTCTCATTTCCTAACTGTACTCATGGCTTCCAATCTCTTACCTTTCCATTTCATCCCCCACTAAGCTGGTAAATCATTTTTCCCAAAACATAAGTTGGACCGTGACCTTCCCTTGCTCAAGAACTATGTTAATCCATATTGTCTTTAGAATAAATTGCAGACCTCCTAGTGTGGCAAATTTAGAATCCTTGACAATCTGGCTCCAGCTTACCTTTTCCCTCTTGTTACACTCTACATTTTAGGCAAACTGGTCTAATTTGCTATTTCTTCAACTCTTTGTTCTTTTTACACACATCTGTATCAGTTTTCTCCATTCTTACAATGTACTTCCGCCTTACCTTTGTCTCTTAGAATCCCTAGATCAGCTCATGTGCCACTCCCCACCTGAAATCTTTCCTGAATGCACCTTGTTCATGTACATAAACCTCTGTTCACATATTCTATCCCACCAGTAAAATATAGCCTCCTTGAGAAGGCAATTTAAAATTACTTCATTTTTTAGTTTTTCATTTGTTTGCCTGGTATCCTCCAAGGAAGCAAGAGTCTCAGTCTTCTCCTTGGTCATCTGTTCCATCAGCTGCATAGCATCTTCTGCTGTTTGGGCAACCTAAACAAAAAAAGTATGGTAAGCAGTGGCTAAACCCATTAAGGTAGCCTGACAGCCAAAGTTTTCAATTAAAGGCCTCTAACCACACTTTATATAACCCTAATAGTGGACGTGAGTAATCTGATTTAAGTCCAGAGAAATGTGTTGCAGTGAGGAAGTGAAACACAGAATTTGTTTAAACAAATCATTTGTACACAGCTGACTTTTCTCAAAGTACTCAGGCGTGGCATCTGATTCAAAAGCTGATGTATTGTTATTATTAAGTCAAGGTCTTTGGGGGGTCAAGGAGGGTTAGGAGAATAACCTTTAGAAAAGTTTTATTTTTAAACAGAAATAAAAGTTAATTCCAAAGCATGTGAATGTAAATCAAGTATCTTATATTATGTACAATACAGTAAAAATGTTTTAGGCAAGCTAATAGTAATGAATACAGGTATGGCTATGAGTAGAAGAAAATGTGAAGGCCAATAGGTTGTTGCAAGACCAACAATCAGTAATTTGGAAAAATGTAACTCCATCTAGAGGTTAGTTTTACTGTTTCCTTTGATACACTAATATTTAAATGAATGATAACAATATCATGACTTGCCAATTACAATGGAGGAGCCCTTTGGTGAAGTTTTCAGATTCTAAATGCATAAATGACAAATAAAATTGAAAGCCAAGTAAAAAATGCTATCAGTTTGTACCATCTTACCTTTGGGTTTAAGTTGGTACAAACTGTAGCAATGGCTTTAATTTAAAAAGTCATTACACTTTTCATTCACTGTTTTGGAACTTGGCTTTTTCATGACATTCAATCAGGTATATACAAGCTATGGAGATTAGACATCTGGTAAAGAATCTTCTTTTAAATGCTACTAAAGGTTTTATGTTTTACTCAAAGCTAGTTATAGGTAATCAAAGATAATTAAAGAGGAACAGTCTTGATGGGGGATAGGATTTCTGGTCTATAGATAGGTTAAATGAGCTTAAGAATGCCTTAAAAATTTCATACTTCAAACAGTGAAGAAATCAACAAGGAGTAATTCTATTCTGGGTCTGATTCTCACCAACAGGGAACTGATGAGGTAGAAATAATGGGTATTTTTTTCAAGAAATTTTTAGATGAACATACAGTTATCCCTTCCACATCATGTGGTTTAGGAGCATGGTGCCCCCCCATGATCTGAAAAATCCACATAAAATTTTTTGGCACTCCCTTCATGCCAGAGAAGAGGTTGAATTGTTTTCTTTTTCTTTTATGGGAGGTTTACAGCACCTTATTGTAAAATTTGAGTTAAGTATTTGGTCACAGGCTCTGTGGCACCTGCAGGCTTCCACAGAACTCCCCAAAAAAATTCCCATTTAATTTCTTATGCTGACTCACAACATATCAAAACCACAATGGAGAAAGTCTTGATATGGCAGGGATAACTGTATTTCAAAAGATTTCAAAACAATAGCAGGTAGAAGCCTATGTACTAAAAGTCCACAGGGGATATTAGCATAGAGAAATGAGAAATTATGCTATTGAGGAGACGAAATTCCAAAGGCAGGAAGAAAAATAATTCCAGTGAGGAAGCAAAAGGGAAGCTGTAAAAAGACCAAAGTGAATAGGAAATTCACTAACCAATTTAAGATCAGACAGGCAAGAATGAAAAGAATATTGGCTCTGGAGTCAGAGTCAGAAATCCTTCCTCTAATACTGAACTGTATGACCTTGGTTAAGTTACCCTATCCCTAAGCCTCAGGGAAAGGGGGTTGGACAAGATGACCTCTGAAGTTCCTTAAAGCTCTAGATCTAGGATCCTATGACAGGATGTTAAAAAATAAAACAGTACAAAACAAAACCAAAAGAAAGAGGCAGGGGGTAAGACAGGATGAATACATAAACCTAGTACAGTGCTGAGTCATACCTCTCAAAGCCCAGAATGAGTTGGGAAAGAAAAGTTAAGTACAAAACAAAGCAGAATTATTTTTTAAGCTATAGTGGGGAAAGAGGAGTATCGGAAAAAAAAAAAACAGGTAGGACTACTCCTTCGGACAGGTGGCCAAGTAGGTAATGACTAACCATGCTACTCAATTCTCATTTTGCTTTTGTCTTCTATGTCAAAGAAAATTTACCTTTGAATTAGAAAGGCCAGAATAAAAGATGATTAATAGGGAGGAATACCCAAGAAAAGTAAGACAACAGTAAGAGAGCACTAGCTGTCTTTGATGGGTTCAGCTCACCTGGCCCAGATAAATTACATTCTCAGGTACTCAAAGAAACTGTAGTTTTGCGATCAATAACCACAAAGAACATTGGCAGTGATCTTTGAAAGAATGCTGAGAATAAGATACAGGTAAATGCCCCAGTTTTCAAGAAAGGGAAGAGAAAAGAGGCTACAAACTACTAACCAGTGAGCTTGACTTCAATTCCTGGAAAAATTCTTGAACATATTAAAGATAAGGTTGGTGACCATCTAGAAAAAGAAAGCATCATCATAAAGAACCAACATGGCTTCATTAAGAACAGATCCTTTTGTAAGAGGATTACTAAACTATTAAATCCAGGGAATGCTATAGGTGACACTTTCACAATTTACCTATATTTTAAGGTAGCATGTGATAAAGTCTTTCAGGATATTCTTGTAGAAAAGCTAGGAAACATGTTGGGTAGATAATACTATAATTAGACTGATTTGGAATCCACAGTGTATTAGGACAGCTGAAGAAGTTAATGAGATTTTAGGCTGCAAGAAGAAGACACACCTTCCATGAATAGGGAGATTAGAGTGCTACTGTATTCTTCACCCTGAATAGACTACATCTGGGGTATTAAGACCAGTTCTGGTTGTACCACTTTAGGAGGGACACTGATAAAATAGAAGACAAAGAAGGGCAATCAGGACTGTGAAGAGCAGGAGGTATTTGGCCTATAGAAGATAACTGGAAGACTGTCTCATGGAAGAGAAATCACATTTGTTCTGTTTGACCCTATGGAATAGAACTAGAAGCAGTGGATGGAAATATCAAAGCTAGAAATGTAGGCTTTGTATAAGGAAAAACTTTCTAACACTGAGAGCTGTCCCAAGTGGAATAAAGCTCCCCTTGGGAGAAAGGAAGTTGTCTTTCATGGAGGTCCCCAAGTGAAAGCTGAATGACCACTTGTCAGCTATGCTGTAGGGGGAATTATTTTCAGATATGGACTAGATGCCTGTGTTAGCCTCTTCTAACTCGAATGCTGTGATTTTGTGAAGTGCTCAATGTGTAAATAAAGTATATCCTTAAACTACTTTAGTTAGTACTTGGTATTAGTAATTCTATAGATACCCAATCCCTCAATCTTTGGAATTACCGTATATGACTGAAGGGTCTCTAGCTCTCTAATTCTCAGAGTAAGCTTGCTCTTGTCTTTCCGCAAGATCCGATTCTCACTCTGGGATTCCAGGAGGTTTGCTGAAATATTACTGTTGGTTTTGGCTAACTGACTAATTTCTTTCTGGAGAGTAAAGTAGTTTTCTGCCAGCTTCTCCTTCTCCTTCAACTCCTTCAGGAGCTCTTCCTTCTTCAGCATGACTTCTCTGTGGTCAGCAAGGAGGCTGTTGTTCTCTTGTATTAGCTTAGCTTTCTCGGCAGTGGCTGATTCGTGGCTCAGCCGGAGATCTTCCAATATCTTGGTGAGGCAGCTGTGCAGGTCTTGCAACTCTGACTTGGATTTGGTCAAGGAAGCAAAGTCATTTTTCAAAATGTCTATTTTGGTAGCAAGTTGAGAAGTCTCTGCACTCAAAACTTCCTTTTCCTTAACAATTTTCACAACTTGTTGCTCTGATTTTCCTTTCTCCTGGGCCAGGATTAGGTTCTCAGACTGAAGTTCTTTATGGCAAAGTGTTAATTTTTCTAATTCCTGTTGCAGAAGCAGGATTTGACTTTGTAGTTTATTATTTTCTAACAGAGAACACTCCTTCTCCTGCTCTCTAGCTTCTCTTTCAAGGTTTAAGGCCTGCTGCGCTGCATTGACCTCTTCATTTAATTTCTGACAATCTTCTTGCAGTCTATACCCATCCTTAAGCAAGATATCCTTTTCCGAATAGCAAGTGTTAAGTTCAACATCCAAACTTTCTTTGGCTTCCAAGAGATCAGCATGTTCCTTTTCTAAATTCTTTTTGGCTCCCTCAAGCTGTTCTAGCATCAAAGAAAGGTCATGTTTGTTGGACAATAGTTCCTGGCTTTCTTTTTGTTTCTCCTGAAGCTCTGTCTTCAGAGCCTCAATACTATTAAGAAGTTTAATTTTCTCTTGAACAACAGTTTTTTTGTTGGCAGTTTCTTGATCATATTTCCTTTTAAGGTCAGCCATGGCTTTGAGTGAAGACTCTCTTTCTTGAAGCAAGCTTGCATTTTGTGTTTCTAACAGAGATGTTTCTTTTAGGAGACCATCCAGCTGCTTTTTTAACTTTAAAGACTTCTGACAAGCCACTTCCTTCTCTGCAGTCAGGTAACCAATCTTCTCATTCAGAGCCATCTCTTTGTGAGCAGCATCTTCAGAGCACTTGACAAGTTTTCCAGTGAGGATTTTATTTTCATTTAAGAGTTCTTCATTTTTGAGCAAGAGCCTACTCTGAGATGAAGTCAAGGTTTCTTTTTCTTGCAGAAGCTGGATACACTCAGAGTCTGTAATCTCCCTACTGGTTTTGATTTCTTCCAGAAATTTCATGAGACTTGCTTTGGAAGACTGAAGCTCCACAGCCACCTTCTCCGCATCTTTAAGCAACTTATTTGAGTCATCCAGCTGTGTCTGCAGTCTGTTAATTTCCACACTAAGCATTTGTTTGTCACGGAGAACTGCTTCCAAGCCCACATTCAGCTTTTCTTGTTTCCTGAGGAGTTCATCTTTCTCATTCTGTAGATCCTTGTTGCTCTGAAGAAGATCATCCTTCTCTTTCTTTAAGGTTGCACATAGAGTGTTGAGGCCTGACTGCTCCTCCAAGTATGACTTCTTCTCAGCTGTGAGCTCTTCAACTTCTTGGACTAAGTTT